GGGCCGCCGACTCCATTCTCAAGGCCATATCGCTTCAATAGCGATTTCTGTCCCTCCGTACTACTGTCATTCTTCGAAGCGCCCGATAGTAAGAATCTCCTGATATTCGGACTTTGGCTTTTTTAGACAGTTGGAGAGTTACTTCCAACACCCAACTAGCATATTTCCTACTACCATACCTTACTGTGGAAATGGCTAACTTTTGTAGGCATGTCTTGAGGTGGGACCAGTATTCTTCGCCGTTCCAGAGATGTTATTGGCATTCATTTCATTGAGATGTTTCAACAATGCGGTTTGAAATGCGTTTATCGTTCCGGATTTTTTAAATTGAGATAGTTGAAAGATCTTGGGATACGTTATTTCTTACGACTTGTCAGTTTTATACGAATCTTGAACCATAACATGATCTGATCCATGGCGGTTACCAGTTTCAGCGCCCCGATAAGAACGACTATCAAGTACAGAACTCTTCCAACTCTTACTGACTAATATATAGTCAATCTGATTGGAATATTGGTTATCCAGAGAGTTCCACGTGACTAGATATATGTTTTCTCCGATGTCAAAAGCATATATTAGTAACAAAGAGCTATTCAGCAAAACGAAGAAGACGTTCTCTATTGGCGCATTGGGCCCCAATGCCATATTTGCCAATCACCGAGTTCATCGAAACGGCATCATGACTTATGCGCTCATTCCAGTCTTCCCCGAGACCATGTTCACCTCTCGGTAGAAATGTTGTTAACTGTTGAAGTTCCGCATAGAACTTATCCTTATCTGCTCATAAACTTGGAGCGAAGAATATATTGTATTGACTGAAATATTGCAGAACTTTCCTTTGAAACGCGCTTAGGCCATATGGTCATTTATTGGCTTCTATTCAATCAGAGCGGATCAAGCCTTTTCAGACATTACAATCGCTACGTCATTTCGCCTCAAGTTATCCAAAGCACCACTGTGATATAGCCAATATCTTTGCTCGGAACCAGGTTTAATAATTACTTGGGAGCCAACATGAGGAAAGTGAACCTCCGACAAATAAGCCACATCCACACGGTATTTAGAGAGGGTGTGGATAGTGATCGCTTGGCTTGCAACATCCATAAGCATTCTGACGTTCCAAGCAGCAACAGCCAATATCTCACCGCGCATTACAAAGTTAACGGTTAGATTCCCGCTTTCCTTGACGGATTTTGAGTAATTATTTCGGTTCGCGAGCAAATTCTGTGCTTGCACCCTGGACTTTTATTATCTCTTTTATTACTACAGCGCCCGGATTGTATATTCATCGCATGTACCACCGAAGCAATATGCGCATCGGAAGACGCGGATGTCGTGTCAAAAAGACCTGACCCTTTCACCATAGAATCACTTAGGGATAGAGATAGAGGTGGACCCCAGCATCCACCCAGATTTTTGACAACATGACATGTTTACTCCTATCAAAGACAAAGAATAAAGATTAACAAATTAAATTTAAAAAGAATTCAAATATCAATAATTTTTCTGGAACAGCAAGTGAATACTGGTCCAAACTTAACGAAAATCTCTGAAAATCAGCGTCTTTCGCGCTAAGGGAAGTGCGCTAGTTAGGTATTGGAAGCAACTGTCCAATTATCTGAAAAAGTTGCCAAAGCACGAATGTTAAATGATCCTGACTACCTGGTGCTTCGAAGAATTGCAACAAAAGCAGCACAGCAGAAATCATTATTGAAATGACATGATCTCAAGAATGGAGACAGCGGCTCGATTAGGTGATAATATGAAACATTCCGCCTCCTTCATAAAGCAACTATAATTCAGGGAACGATCAGTGAAATGGTAAGAGACAGCAATGGCGTGCCAGTCAAGAGTGTTAAGGACCGCCTCATAAAATGGAAAAAATTCTTTGAGGCCAAACTTAACCATGAAGCGCTATCTGTTGCCCCTGATATAACTGATACGTTCGCTGAACCTTATGCTTGTAACTGCGAGCCCTCGACAGAAGAAGAAGTAATCTCCGTTATCCACAAGTTCAGTGTCAATAAGATTCCGGGACAAGATCGTCTTCCGGCTGAACTCTTCAAATGTTGTCCATCGTCCTTCATAATGCACCTTCAATAAATGTACTCCCTAGTATAAAAAAATATTACTAGATGATTGGAGCAAAGCCATTGCGACAGTTATCGAGAAATCAGCTTACTAGACGTCTCAGCGAAAACTTTTATTTCGTTTCTACTCATTAGACTAATGGTAATGGGATAGAAGAATTCGCCCTAAGCTAAATTAGACCAGGACACGGTTGTGTTGACCAGATATTCACGTTAAGAATGACGTTAGAAAGCTTCAAATATCTACAACCTACCGTTAGATATTTCATCGACTGTTTTCAATTGATAGAACGACGCATTGATGCGATATTTTTGATAATTAATGGATGATGATGGAGGAATGTAACAGTGTTCTAGAGAAGATCATTCGATTTATAAAAGCATTTTATCGAAATTATAGTCAAGAAGTGATGCCCATCAAGGTTCTGTCGTTTCTCCTACAATATTCAATTATGCGATAAACTGGATAATGGACACTGCTTGTCGGCCCTCAAGAGGTGTCCAAATTAATCCAGAGCATCATATCACAGATTTTGAATAAGCTGATGATGTAGTCCTTTTTTCTGATAGCTATGAAGTGCAAATAATGTTAAACAACGTGTCAACAACTGCAGAGAGAATCGTATTCTGGATCAAAGTAAATAAAACGAAAAACCACACTGCTATAAATGACCTCATCTCTTCGTTTTAATAATAAGAAGGTGATAAAATGTCTATTTTTATAAATTCTTGTCGGATGAGGAAGTTGCCCGATTTTAGATACTTTGGATCCAATTTATTACCGAATCGCCAGGCAAAAGACTATATCACTCGGATTACGGCAGCTAGAATTGATGAAATTTTTAAGTAGCCATCGCGAAATCACCACGAAAGTCCGCATCTATATAGCCGTGATTCGTTCGATCTTGCTATATGGTTCTGAGACATGGCCAATGAGAGTGGAGGATATTAAGAAGTTATATACCTTTGATCCCTTTTATCTAAGGTTTTATGGTCCCATCAAGCGGATAAAATATCACATGATCGCATCTATCTTCGTTCAAATACCACTTGCATTAACAGTGCCATCACAAAGCGTCGTTTTCGCTGGTTAGGACAAGTTGTTCATCCTCCATCATTAGAGTTGAAATTAACGCATATTTCTTTACTTGCTAAACCGTGTGAATGGTGGCATCAAAAACGAGGTGGGCCAATCAAGACCTGGACTGATACGTTCAGAAAATTTTTGAACGTATAGTTGGACCAATATATGGACTTAGACGATGGAAAAAGGAATGGCATCAGACCGCGCCGCTTGGAAAAATCTTATCCTTGTAGCCGTTAGAGCCAGCCTAACCAGTAATGTTAGAAGAAGAAGAAATAGAACTATTTGATTGTTTTATAATACTTGTTTCAATCATGATCACTTGTGATGAATTTTTTTTTTTGAAGAGCATATTACTGGTTATTATCGTATGGAAAATGAATATAATCAATATCATATAATGAATAAATAAAATGAATATAATCAAGTCCCATCAATCAAATTTAATAATTATATTGATCTAAATGACGGATAATCGTGCGGGTACCACTTTAGCCAATTGAGTTCAAAAAAATCAAAATCGCTCGTAAAAAACTTACGTGTCCTATGTGGATAAAAATTCTCTCCTTACATCTCATCGTGTTACTTTGATATCTGAGAACATTTGATGATAATTTTCGTCTGTGTTTGTGTTTCTTTTTGAATACTTTTATACTCTGCAAAGATTCTCTGCAAATTTTTACTGCGTAAATTTCTATACCCTCTTTTGTTCATAATAGTACATAACGATTAAATGATTAAACGAATGAGTTCCTTCATATGGAATCCCCGTCTAATTCTCCACTTAACCGAATTCAGCAATGAAACCGGTTTTGTAAACGACCCGTCTATTTTTAATCTTTCGTCTATTTTTAATCATTACATGCATCTAATCTTATTGATCTAATTCACCTTACGAATATTATATTCTGAATTTTAGGTCACTCGAAATGCTTTGAATTTTTATGCGTGCAATTATATTAAAATTGTATAGCGGACCAAAATTATTTGCAATAATGTATAAAATTTTATACTATTGAACTGAATTTTATCCTGCGAAAAAATCCTATTTAAAACTGAGAAAGTATAAAAGTAATGAAGTATTGAAAAATATGTCTGCGTTTTTGATAATTCATTTAAATCCCCTTTTTTTCATCTATTATACAATGTAAAATGTCCTATTAAAGTCATTTGTTATAGTTAATTTATTTGTTGCGATTAAATTATATAACAAAGCTTTAAAAAATGGCCATTATTCGAGGGACTTTTATTAAGAAGTAAAATAAACTGGCTTATTTCTGGTACTTTATGGTACTTAATTATTTGGTATATATTTTCAAGTCAATGTAAAACAAGCCGAACCAGAAATGATGAGAATTTTTTGCTTTTTCTTACTTAATTACAACCAAAATACATCTCGTATAGGTAATTTGCCAAATTCACTTCAGAATTTATAGGTAGAGGTAAGGATAAAATATGAAATATAGGTGAAGTTGTTATTCATAAATCGCTTTTTTGTAACTTATTTGTGTCTTTAGTCTTTTTAAAGAACTTTTTTAATATTTTGCTTTGAAATAATTGAAAACGACAAATGCTTTTAAAAATTTTCAAATAAGTAAAAAATAAAATAAACATCAATACGAACAAATTTATTGGTTATTGAAAAAATTTACAACTATCTCACTTGTAAACGATCCAGAAATGATTATTCTATAGGTAATAATTTTTTTTGTAATCAGATGGATAATTTTTATGCTCCCAAAATTATAAAACAAAATCTTAAAAAATAAATTATAGGCAAGTTTCTCGAGAGGGAGAGAGGATGCTCTATCGATATTTAATCGACATTAAATGATATCTAATCGACCGGAGATTCTCACATATTCCTTGGAATCAGTCGAACTTGACTGTTGCGATGGTGGATAATTGTTGAAATGATTAATTCGAAATGGTTGGAAGAAGGAATTTTTTGGATTTTCTTGATGTAATCGTCGAATGATATTTAATGCTTCTTTCGATATTCGACCTTCTAAATCCTTGAAATTATCGTTGATTGAAGTTTGTTCTGCTGGAAATAATAAAATAAAAACAAACAATGAAAATGAGCTGTTATCTTCTTTTTGTTTTGCTGGAGTTTTTTGTTTATTTTATTCTACAGTTAAAGTTGATGGAGTTTTTGAATTTTAAGTTCTTCATTGTAAATTCTGTTTCTTATTCATTTAGTTATGTTTATATTTATACAATTTTTTAAAACTTGAGGAAAGATGTGGTTATTGCTAAGATTAGTTCAGTGTCATAAGATTAGATTCTTATCTCTGATAGCTCGTCATTAATTCTGGATATCGGATATCGCTGGCTATCTACATGTTCCTTTTTTCTTTTTTTTAAATAATCCAGGGGGTCTATTGGCTATAGAAGTACAAGTGAACCGCCACCATCAGCTGGATCTCTGGACAGGTTCACTCTTACAGGAAGTAGAACTTCAGCATTGGCGCTCGGAATCAAGCAACAACCCACTGAGCTATTCTGCTTTCCCAAACGTGTTCTTTTTAAAAAGTGAAAATTTTTTGGTTAATAACCAGTAGAAACAAGCTTGCAATGAAATGCTAACCGCTAATTTTTTAAGATTAAGTTAAAATTATGCAATAAATGAGAATACCATTCTCGAGTTCAAGATCATGATGTTGACTGAAAGAATATGAAGAAGTATGCCAGTTATGCCAATCACTGTCCTTTCTACAAACATTATAATTTTCAAAACCAAATATTCAAATTAAATTGATTTATGAATGGAACTTTGGTGAAAAAATAAGGGTATTTCATTTCTTGTCGTGAATTTTATTACCATTTAAATATGTGTTGAAATTTATTTCTTGGAGTTTTCAAAATTCTCATTTCAAGTTGATTTCAACGAAAACATTATTCAATATATGTTTAAAATTTAGCTTACTTGGGCAATTTGGAAAATTGATTGTTTGAAGCGATTACTAGCGATTCTTAAATTCATCAAAAACAAGTTCAAATAAAACAATAAACAAAAAATATTAGTAAAAAACTGTATTTTAAGAATTATTAAAGTCAGTAAAATTTGAAATTATTGGTTGAAGTTTTAAATTATTAAAAAAAAACTGAAGTTCGAGGAATAGATAAAATTCATTTTATCTAATACGTACTTATTTCAGTTTTCTTCTTTTAATAACGCTAAACATTTTTAGTTCGGATAACTGTGGGAAAAGGCTATTTTGGCATGAAGCTTTTTGAGGATAGAAGCACAAGTGACTCCTTATCAGCATTTCATGTCAATGGCAGATTTATCGAGTTATACTGAAAAATTCTAATAAATAAAACCAGGCGAATTCAATGTGTACTTCCCATTTTAATATATTTGCAAATTTTATTACTGCCAAAATCCTAATGGACAAAGTTAAAATCAGTAATAAACAATATATGATAAGATATAATGATTATTTAGGATTATATGTACTTTATTTGTTGTAATAATTGCTTTCAAATTTCTTGCCTATCTATTAAAATTTAAATAATTCATAAAACACGAAAATTTCGCCTAAATATAAGAGTGGAGCTGGCGAATCACCTGTACTTCTATTTCCAAATAATGCTCTGCGAAGAAATCTTATTTTAATAGATGTGGAGTTAGCCAGAACCAGAACCAGAAACAACGAGTGCCATCAGAGAAAAAAGAATTTTTCAATAAAAGGGTCTTAATCCAAGGCCAAATTCTATCAGCGAGTCGAAAGTTCTCAGTACAAATCCCCCTGACTATATTCTATTGTAAAAAAGCATAAATAAGCAAATTGTAAATATATTTATCGAGAAAAATGAGATGGTTAAGAATCACTTAATCATTTTTTGTATTAAGCCAACAATTTGCTAAAAATTGCTTTTTTAAATAAAAATAAACCTTTAGCAGTAAAAATAATAAGCAATAGAGCTATGGTAACTCTGAACATTGCAAATACTTGAATGCCTATAAGGATGAATTTGTTAATAAAGTAAATTTTATTCGGTATGAATTCAGTGGATCAGTGCGGCTACCGGTTTGTATTGTGAGCTTTTCCAGACCTGTTTTTCTACGTAGTCATTATAGTGCCATATTTCAATATTTACTACATAATAACCAATAATTAAAATTTTATCATGCGCACTCAATTATAATCATTAATGATCAAAGCGAACGGATGACAAATCTGTCCCATAAAATCACTTTTCAACTCTTTTTATAAATTTTTAAAGATTTTTGCAAATTAGCTCAAATATTTGATCATGTATGCTGCAAACATGGATTCCAATTTCAACATTTTTTATCTCATTTTTCTAAGGAACAATGGTGCAGACTAAAAAAAACCACAATAAATTTTTTTAATAAGTTTTTAACCAACAATCCGTATGCCCTGTCGCAAAATCAGTAAAAATACTAGTAATAATATATGAATATATATGAATATTTCTGCAAAAAAAAGTATTGACTAACTGAGAAAAGCTTGACGAAATCTAAATTTTTATTCATTTTTGAATCAATTATACACATAGTAATTAACTTTATTCGAACAGAATAGAATATAAAACTCGTAAATAAGAAATATTATTTTGGAATTTTCGAACTTTTAGTTAAGGTATGCCTAGAAATCCCCAAGCATATGGATTAATATCAAATTAATCGCAAAGCCTGGAACTTTGCATGCCTTTGAATAAGACCGTTATTCTATTGCATCACTCAATCTGCCGTTATTTGATTACCTATTATTTTTACTAGATTTTTAAAATAATTAATTATCTCACGAAAATGCACTTTTAAATTGCTTTTCTGCTGAAATATATTTTTGTTTCTGGAACAATCAATCGTTCTTTTTCAAATGATAATGAACAGGAAGAAAATTGTTAAAAAAAATATGACAACTGTAATATCATGAAGCGATCGATATAATGATAATAAATATAATAAAAAGGAAAGTAGAAGATTTCGCTACAAAATATCCAAAAATATTAAAGTTTGCAAAAAGAAACTGGCTGCCTATTTCCTTTATTTTGCTACTCGGGAACCATAAATAATAATTTGAAAAATTTTTTCAAATTTTTTATCATGATGAACTTTTCTATAATTTGCACTTTTTTTTATATTATCATAAGTTTAAGATAAGTCAAACTGAATCGCTTCTCACTGGAACATCAACCTAAAATATTAATTTTACTTTTTTTATAAAACACTGATTATAGAGGATGAACAAGCAATACATTGCTCCGATTAAGGTTAAGCCATCATATCTTTCTCTGTTCTTTGACAAGAGTCTATTTGCCATTAAAAGTAAAATTTTAAAGAGTAAAACCACTCGAACTTTTATCGCCAAGAGACTCTTAGCGAAATAATCTGGTAAAGTGGTTCACAAAAAGTAAAATAGCTTCAAAAAATTGTGCGATGAAGCAGATGATCCAAGCTAAAAGGATCCATTCTGCACTTAAAAAATCAGTAACTTTATACGCGATTTTGCTACAGATACAATGTGGGCAATGCAGTTTCTTCAAAAGAATTGCTTAATTCTTTAATAATGTGAAAATATTTTAACCTGAATTGGTGCAATGTCACTAGAAAATGTTTCTTTTTCATCCATAATTGGAGGCTTTGAATCAATTATACCGGATATGATTTCGTTATTTTCTGGTTTTACGCCAGCGATGATTGCTGTTGGACTTGTTTTTCTGCGTAAATTTGGTACTATTTGCGACGATAACTCAGAATTTATATGAGGAGATAAAATGGTTTCACTTGGCAAAATAATATTCACTGCAGCTAAATCCGAGACTTTTTCCTCATTCATCTTGAATAAATTTTTATATGTTGGATAGATATTCGATGAACGACAATACTCGCCATATAACGTTGTAATACCGGAAATCACTGCTTGTTTCTCTGAATCCACCGATGAAATCACTAAATTCGAATTTGTTTCTCTTGAAATTCGCAAGTTCCGGAATCCACCTGAAATACCTAAAACAATGCTTTCTCCATTCATATTAATTCGATCAATCATTTGCATCAACGGTTCGCTAATCTTTATGTCATCTGTTGAATAAATCGTATTTGATGGGCCATTCTCCAAGTCCATCGGTGTATCTGAAGAGCTGACAATAATGCACAAACCACTGATAATTTCTGTACCATTTGCGTTTGTTCCAATAATTGTTTTTTCTCTTTTTTTTGTTTCATATTCATCGAAATTATTTCGATGAGTGGTTACTATCTGGTTATTACTGTGATTTAATTCCCGAGGCAAGTTGATTTGCTCATTATTTTCTTCTAACATACTTGCAGCGAATTTTTCATTGGTTGAGGAATGAGTAATCCCTAAATTATTTGTAAATGACGCATCAAACTCAGTTAGATGAGTTTCATTTTGTTTACTGCCGATGTTACTGGTTATTTCGGTTGCACATCCAGCTCCGATATCAGTTTCTTGTAGTACTTGCCCGTAATGACCCACTCCATTCTCATTCAACTTTTGATCGATTTGATATGAATCTACAGATTTCACTGTACCACTAGTTGACTTAACTTTTTGTTTTGAAGTCGTATCTACGGCGGAATCTGCAATGGAAAGATTTGCAACTATGAAGAAGAAGGCTGCTACAGTTCTGAGTAATTATTCTTTCAGAAATTTTTTTTTTGGTTTTTCAAACAGATGAATTTCGGATTCTATTGTTATAAATTATATTATAAACTTATTAATTAGTCTTATCAATATCTAGCAAATTATATAGAACAAATATGGAAGAAGATTGACTTAATTAAAAGATGAATAATGAAAATCGAATTTTATTAAGTAAAAAATCATTCCATGGAAAAACTCGTAAAGAATTACCCGAATGAACGCTGTGAAACCTGTATAGGATACGATGAACATGAATAACTGGGCCCTCTTCTTCTTCTTCTGGAAAAAATCTTATTTTTCGAGTACTCAATGTAAAATCGTGTTGCATATTACTGACAATGTTTTAAGCATAAAAGTCGTAAAAAGTGATAAATAATCACAAATCTTCGTTTCATTACTGGAACTGCAAAAAAAATATTTTAAGTGGCAGTTACACGCGGAATCTGAATAATTTATAATCGAAAATTTACATAAGTAATTAGCATCATTTCTATTTAGATTCGTTCAGCTCGCTGTTATTACAGCTAGAGGTTTTTATTAGAGAAAAAAGTAGACAGCTGGTACCACCGTAATTTTTAAATATAGATTTATTCTTGTAAGGCCATAAGTTGAACCTTCGTTGCGATATGCCGATGATTCATTATCCACTCTTATCTGAATGTGAAACGGTAAATACAGATGCTTAATAAAGCCATCTTAAATATAACTCGTCAAAATTTAGGCTAATTTAGGATAGAACAGCAAATTATTCTGCTTTTTTCATTTGATTATTTGTAATCAAATTAGTTCGTTTTCCCCACTTCGGGTCTCGAGCAAACCTCTAAATCTTCAAGCAAGGGTACTGATTATGTCATGTGACTCAGATGACTCGGAGTGAAATGGATTGCCATATGTGAAAAAGTTCTGTCTGCTCAGATTGGATGGAAGCCGATAAACGACCAACTCTTTTCAAAGGAAAGGTCTGCAATATTTTCGCTCAACTTCCTATATATGTGATATAATGTTATCTGAAGATGACCTTGATAAGGATAAGCTTTATATGGAATTTCAACTGCCAACAACATCTCTATCAAAACACATGGACATAATCGAGGAAGACTGGGCGCGTAGGTCATGATGTCGCTGCGATAAGCATCAATGATGAACGTCTTCTTCGCTTTGCCTAAGTGCATGAAGTTTTTATTATTAATACATGCTTCCTTCATTATAGAAAATATCTAATCACGTGGAATTTCCCAGATAACCAAAATTTCAACCAGATTGATTATATCTTAATCAGTTGCCGTTGGAAAAGTTCCGTACTGGACAATCGTTCCTATCTCAGGGCTGAAATGGGCAATGGATCTTCATGGATCTGACCATGTTATGGTCCGAGCTAAAATCAGCATAAAATTGACAACTCGCAGAAAACATCCTCCAAGATCTTTCAGCTATCTGCTAAAAAATTTAGGAAGAGCGCATTTCAAACCGAATTATTGAAGCATCTCACTGATTCAAATATCAATAACTTTTCTGAATGGCAAGTGAATACTGGTCCAAACTAAAGGAATATGTCTGAAAATCAGCCAGTTTAGTTAGCCAGACTAGAGCATACTAGTAGGAAGCGCTCTAGTTTGACATTGGAAGCAATTCTCCAACTGTCTGAAAATGCTGCCAAAGCATGAAGACCGCCGTGACTATTCGACACTTCGAAGAATTGCAGCATCTTGGCGGAACAGAAATCGCTATTGGAACGAGGTGGCCATGAGAATGGAGACGGCTGCTCACTTAGGCTGCTCACAGGAAATTATTTCGTATTCCGTAATTATTATACCTTCTTCATAAAGCAATTATAACATAAGGAACCACAAATGGTACGGGATAACAATTGTGTGCCTGTTAAGACTAGTAAGGATCGCCTTTTAAGATAGAATTCTTTGAAGCCATGAGCCATGATGCTTTATCTGTTGCCCCAGACATAGCTGAGTTGCTCTAGAACCATAAGTTTTCAATTGCAAACTGCCAATAGAAATGAGACAATCTCCGTTATCCATAAGCATAAGGCCAATAAAATTCCTGGAAAAGAATGTTGTCCATCGTTTTTCATAACAAATATACTCTTCAACAAATATACTCTCTAGTATAGAAAAATAAAATATTACTGGATGATTGGAGCAAAGCAATTCTCCGCCCAATTCTTAAGAAACATGATAGCACATATTGCGACAATTATCGAGAAATCAGCCTACTAGACGACTCAGCGAAAACTTTTATTTCACTTCTACTCATTAGACTAATGGTAATACGGGATAGAAGAATCCGCCCTAAGCTAAATTAGACCGGGAACCGGGACACGGTTGTGTTGACCAGATATTCACGTTAAGAATGACGTTAGAAAGCTTCAAATATCTATAACCTACCGTTAGGTATTTCATCGACTTTCCTACTGTTTTCAATTGATAGAACGCATTGATGCGATATTTTTGATAATTAATGGAGGGTGATGGAGAAATGTAACAGTGTTCTAGAGAAGATCATTCGATTTATAAAAACATTTTATCAGCATATGTAAATGCATATTTTGCCATAATTTAAAAAAGATTGGATGCACTTTTAAGAACTTTAAGAATTTAAGATAAAATTTAAGAACTTTACTTGTAATCTATTATAGGGACGAAAGATTAGAATAGTCGAGGGAATTGAGATGCAAAGGTCCAGATCCTGTTTTCGACAGATGTATCCAGGCGATGCTGACAACCCACTTCTCCTACATTTTTCGCTTATCGCTAAATGATTCCCTTGTAAAAATTTCTAACCTAACTATATACAGCTGAGCTAGTCTAACTAAAAATAGTGCAATAAGTAAATCATATATTTATAAAAAGACTGAACGAAAAACACACCTGAGGACATTATCACGGCTTATTAAGGAATGGGCTCGACGAATATTGGATGAGAGAAGAATTCTTTGCAAGTTGTTTAAATGAATGGGTGAGGTCAGCTGTGGCTTTTAACGAGGGCGTTTAAAAGAAGCATTAGTACAACGTTTCACGCCCTCTTATGCTGTAAGACACTTCGAAAACTGAATGAAAACAAAACAAAGAAAATCTTAAAATTGATAAAATTTTTGGCTGAGACTTATAATATAGGGCTAATTTTATTATCCTTCAATTTTTCAACATTTAATTTTTTAAATGTATGATTAATATTTAATGCTAACTTAATATTTACAAGTAATATTTAATATTTTAAATTAAATTTGATGCCAATATTAAATATTAAAAAATTTTCCCAATCTTGTTACTCCACTTCTATGGATTTCATTTTTTAATTTTGTAAGAAATGATTTCGATAGTACTACAACTTTAACTAATGTAATTAACTCTGCGGTGAACAAGAGAGTTTAAATAAATTGCGTAATGGATGAATAATTTAACCTATTCAATATTTTCATGAAACTTTTCGGTATCTCATCTAGTTCAGTCAACTAGAAAATTATTAGTGAAATGTACCGTTATGTGGACGAGCAGAATTACCTTTAAATCGTATTACATTCCTTTGTTTCTCAAACAAAATTTGGAAAGACAAATTTCATCTTATTTTGCACAGGTAAACCTTAGATTTGATAACAGTCTAAGCTAGAAAAGAATGACAAAAGCTGGTAGGACTCGAGCCTGAGAATCCAATATTGGGCAAATTAAGCCATGGTTCAGATTATGAAAATATCTATTAAGTAAAGAAAAAAAAATATCTAAATTTCTGTATATTAAACCAATTTACTGTGAAAATTGAAGAAAAACTGGATAAAAATTATTAATAACCGATTTGAAATTTGGGCAAAATATTAACCAGCTATTTAATGGTAGCCTTCATCATCTAATTATCTCCTTTCAAAATTTGTGAATTGTGGCATTTGGGATTAGAAACACGAGATTTTAAAACGAGATGGGATTTTATTTATGGGATTTCAAACTTCGAGGAAATTAGTGATTTATACGGGTTAGTGAGCGAGTGGATAGATAGACTTAGCCTCCAATGCATTAGCACTTTTCCTATCCGCATATCTCCACAGTAACACCATTCATTCGTCAGCACACTTACATCTCCACTCACTCATCAGCAGATATACTTCCATTTTTTCAACTACTACACCCAGCAAAACATAATTCCTTCATCTAGTAACCTACAAAGACATACCTTAACCTTTATTTATCCATTCACCTACCTCCCAGCTACTGCATATCCACCTTCTAACTACTAACGTTGCTTTTAAGTAGCTTTTAAGTAACTTTTTAAGAAATCCCTCATTCTTTCATCTGTTTATCATAATACATTTTGAGGATGCACTCATATTTTAGTAGGGCGCATGCATTTATCAGCGAAAGATCTATATAATACGGCTAAAATGCCACTGCGGAGCAGATTACTACAGCAGCGATATTACACAAGGTAATTTGTAATAAAACACATAGATTCACTTATATAGCAAATATAATCTAGTAATAATATTAAAAAATTCATCCTACGGGCAGTCCAGAGATATTTGCCCCGATCGGACCTTAGTGTATTCCCTGATATTATTTCAAAATCCCTTGTAATCCTTCGAACATGGTAAATTTCAAAATCTTTGTTTCTTCCAGACGACCCTTTTATAGTAAATAGTGTTTGAGGGATCAAGATAATTAAGGCAGTTTAAGGTTATGTTACCCATAAGATATGTAGTTAATTTATGAGGCTTGATATCGGATATTTGAGGAATATTGATGACGGATAACAGTTACTGTGGAAAAAATTATGTGGCTTTAGCATTAGATAATATCGGGAGAAAACGTTCCTAAGAGGAATGGCAGAATTTCCTTCCATTAATACTGGCTTCGGGCTCGGTTTACCTATTTCTACCACCAGATAAAGAATTGATATTGAATGTCGGTGTATGTTGTTGTTTGTTGAACTCAAGATCAACTATCGACAACTAAATGCTATCAAATGATTGTTTTATGGAAAAGATTAGTTTGATTTTATTAAAAATGGAAAATGAGATGGCAAAATTTGTTGGCTTCAAGTGGGGTTGAGAGAGGCAGGTAGGGATTAAAAATACCAATAATAAATTATGGTAAGGATTGAAAATGAAATTTGAAATATGAGGATATTTAATAAAGTTTGGGAAAATTTTTGTAAAAGCCTAAAACGATTCAAACGTTAGACATTGATTTTGAATGAAATATGATGGGTTTCCAGAGAATATTATAGTTTGGTCTAAAGGGCGTACCAACACAATATAAGAGACTGCGTGAACATATTATAAGAGCGTTTCAATACTTGCCCTTAAAAAACATGGTCTGGTTGGATGAAATATTAGAGAGAACTAAAAGGATTTTGGCAGCGCAAACGGCTTCAGTAAATTCTGAGGAACTTGTCAGTTACAGTGGGGTCTAAAGGACGAGAATAATATATAGAGGCTTCAGTAATGTTACTAATGAGACATGGCAATAGGATGGCTCAGTGGGTTGTTGCTCAACTGGGAGTACCGATGCTGAAGTTTGATTCCTCGCAGGAGTAAACCTGTGCAAAAATCCAGGATTCACCTGTATTTCTATAGCCAACAGACTCCATGGTATGTTGCCCAATACAACAAGCCAGTGGAGCAAATTTAACCAGCAGTGGTGAGGACCCTTTAAAAAAAAAGAGAGACAAGATGAGCAGCGATGTTTGGTAAATCACTGGAAGAAAGCAGAGCTTTGAGGTATTATGCGACATAAAAGGAAGTTTAAGCAGCAAGACAAAATCTGAAAGACTTGAATATTACGTAGGATCGAAAGAAAATACTAGGATTACTAAAAAATCTGGACAATGTTTGGAAGTAGATGGAGGTCTTTAGAGGGAATTCTGAAAAATAAGCAAATAAGGAATAAACTTCATTTACGAGCAATTCTTACAAAATCTAGGCTATTTTGGAGGGAATAGTTAAATTTTTTCCAGGTACTCACATTCTTGTTGGAAATTGTTGTATAGAAATTCCGAATGGAGCAGAATGGATCTTACCTACACTTGCACCCAAGCGAATCTATTTACATTCTTAAGCAAACAGGTCTCATCATAATAATCAATGGAAACAGCCAAATGGTTAGTGCTTTAAGGAAAAAGAATTATTAAAATTTAGCACTGACAGAAAGTTTAAGAAAATTAAAAAATTTCCTTCAATAAATATCCATCTGAATTAGCTGAATAATAATCATTTATCTTCCACAATCATTGAATCAAAGAAAATAAACAATCTTATCAATCACTGCAGAGGATTAATAAACTTTTTCGTTTTACTTTTTTTGTCAAAAATTAATGTCATCATGGCGGAATTGCCAAAATCATTTTTTTTGTATCCGACGACAAATGAACAGGACGGGCCACCGATAATGATGATTATCAGTTTTTTTCTTGCGAACTGTTAAATCAGATGCAGTGCACATTTCAGCATCTGATAAACCGAATGATGATTGAAATGAAATCGGCCAATGATTTATTTTAACTTTATGATTCAATTATGATTCTATTTTGCCAATTAATATGAATTTATTCACTTTTTTTGATGGAGAATGTATTTTTTCGGCAAAATAAACCAGCAAATAAGAGATCCTATATCATGCATCATGCAACATTTTAATATTTAATATACTTAACATTAAGCGAGTGGTTAGTGCTCACCATTTCTGGTTATGCTGGTCCCACCAGCTGTCAAAAATTTTTGTTAAGAAACCATTTTTCAATAGAAACAATAGATCATTAGCACTAACTGGATTATTTAATGGCAGATTTATTCTTGTCAGAGGCAGGACTTGAGCTCTTGCCTCCCAGCATAACCTAAGCCACTATCCCCTCAATTACTTTGGTTCTTTCCAATACTGCTTATAAATCGAATTACTGATTTAAAATCTCCAAGAACTAATTTGTAAATTTGTATTTTAAACATATATAAAATGTGAAATATATTTAAATATATATGAAATATATTTAAATATATGAAAATTGTACATTCAGTGTCTACAGAGAATTCAAATGAAATTCAGTCAAAATGTTCGAAATTTACAAAATACTGACTAAAGCGTGATAAAACTCGTAGATTTAAATTTTCGATTAGGTCAGCCATTTAGATATTGTGGTTCGTTTTCTTTTATGACCCGTGTGTAATATATTTGGTAGACAACGAAAAAAAATAGAGGAAAACGAAAGATTTTTTTAACAAAAAATTAGTAGACAAAAGAACCGTCAAAAAAAATCTTCGTTGAATGGGGTCTCATTTTGATAACCAGTGGAGCCATTCTGATTTGGTCTATTTTAATCAAATTTTTTCAAGATATTTATTCATCAATCTTTATTACGCTTGCAACAAAAACTTTGTTGGTAACATTTTTAGATATTTTCATTTTTGCAAAAAATTTTCCAAAATTATAACAATATAAATTGATAGCAAAAATGATAGCAAAATTTTTTAATTTATTAAATATTTCAATAAAATCACTATCATCATTCGCCATATTCACAGTTATCAGCACTACCTATCACCATAACCATCATAAAGCACAACAATTAATAATACCATCATATATAATATGTATTCTGTATAATATATTATTGTATATATAGAAATAATAAAAAAAAAGGTTTATGAGGGAATCAAAATTTATTTGCATCAAGAAAATACCGGTGGTACTGAAGTACTGAAATTGTTTTTTTTCCTCTTCAAAATAGTTCGGTGTAATAAAGTTATGAAAATACATATTATATCTTTGTTCGTTATCATTATGATATATAAAATTTTGATTATTAAGTTGATATAATACAACTTTTTTGGATATTACTGTTTCAGTTGGTAATAAAATAAGATGGATGTATAATAATTACTTCCGTCAATGCTGCATTTTGCGCTTGAATGAATTTTTTTATATTACACCTTTGGCAGTATGATGATATTTACGAATATTTTCTGAAGCCTAACAACTTCTTGGAGTATTTTTAGTTGCATAAAAATAAAATACATAGCAATATATATTGGAAAAAATGATCTCTTTCTGTTCGTGATAGAATTGTATGTATTACCTACAATCACAACTGAAGGAAGTAATAAGTTCATTTAGAATATAAAATAATATTGAAATGAAAAATCCTTCTCCGTCCTTAGATAATTTTAAGAATCCATGATCTAGATTAATGAGAATAACCTGTCATTAGCACCTACAAAATCCTGCAATTTGAACGGAAATCCACATCGGATATCAAATTTTATGGTTGCATTTAAACATTCACCACCACGCCAAATATACATATCTTCACCAAATTTGACAACACCATAATTGTAAAACTGATTGCATTTATGGTTGTTCATCGGAGTTTTAGCGAGCACGTCACTGTCGTCGGCTCCTTGACACATTAATGGGCATAAATTACGGATGTTCTGCAAAGAAATTTTGTGATTGATGGACTACTTAAAGAACTCATCATTAATATGTAGATCCAATAAATAAATAATTGTTTTGCGAATAATTCGTTTAACTTGGATGATGGCAGCTAGAAATACTTTCTTCTAATTGATCAGACTTTTATGGATTCGTCGAAAAATCACAATAAAGACGAAAGTTCGCGTTTATTCTCTCTCAATCTTGCTATATGGCTGCAAGGCATGGCCATTAAGAGTGGAGGATATTAAGAAGCTATCTGCCTTTGATTACTCATGTTTAAGAAACATTTTATGGGTTCCCCGAATGGACAAAATCTTGCATAATCGCATCTATCTTTGTTCAAACCATTTGCATTAACAGTATCATCACATCGCATTCGCTGGTTAGGGCACGTTCTTCGTAGCCCACCACAGAAGTTTACATATATTTTGTTAATTGCTAAACCTTTAGCGGATGGCGTCAAAAACGAGATGGTCCAATCAAAATCTGGACTGATACAGTCAGGAAAAATTTTGAATGTATAGGTAGGTGGATCAGCGCTATATATTTAGAAGGTGGAAAAAGGAATGGCTTCTATCATTGCGTCAGGCCGAAGATCTTGGAGATATCTTATATTTTACTCTTGTGGCCAGTGGAGACAGTCTAACCATTGATGGGAGAGCTGCTAGAAGAAGAGTAATTTGTTTAGTTTTGTTTGGAGTTTTGAAAGATGTTTGAAACTTTCAATTTTTTATTCGATAAAAATCCTTACTCTTACGGATGGTACAAATTCGTCAAAACAACCATCACCATAATCCGTATTACGGACGCCAGTACGCAATGCGCATTGCGTTACGTCGGAATTTGGATTTGCATGGATACATTCAATACTACGTTTTTCTGAAATATCCATCTTATATTTCAATATTTAATATTAAATCCAAATGTTATAGGCCCTTTCACTTAAGCAATTTTTTATTTCCCAATAATTCATTTGAGAATAAAGCTTGAACCTTTATAAATAACTTAGATTTTTAAAAATAAAAATACAGTGAATGTATGTGATCTTGCCAACCTTTATGCTTAAGCATTTATGTCAGCTTTAAAATTACAATTTGGTAACATGGCAAATGCCAAAATGTTATATATGTTATGTTATACTCAAATGTTTCATGCAAGTAAACTTAATGCAGATTCAAATAAAATTCGAGAATATTTTTGCAAAACCATAATGAGAATAAATCTAATAGGAATCTCTTTTGCTTTTTTCTCTCTTACTATTTGCTTCTTTCAAATGAAACTGAAATCGTAAAAAATCACAAAAATGAAAAACCAACGCCAGTGGTAGGAAAAAGAAGAAATTGCTTTCAATTTAAAATCATCTGTTAATGGCGATGCATTGATCATTTGAATTGTTAAGAGCAAGACCACTGTGAACTGCATTTAGTACAGACGAAAGAAAAGCTGAAATCTTCAAATATTTATTATATAGTTATATAAAAAATTGTAAAATTAACTAATAAAGCACATTAAATGACGTGGACGACTGGGATTAGGACATCATGGGTTTGATTTCTGTATCAGGAATAAATCTACCACTAAAAATGAAAATAGGATGGCGCTGGAGATGCCTGTACTTTTAAGATTATTTAAAAGTTTTAAAATGGCTGCGGTACTATTTGCTTGTGTCTTTGTGTTTGGAAAAGCTAATGTTTTCCAAAGCTTAGCATATCCAAGCCATTTATTTGGACGCAAACTATGTTGTGTTAAATTAAATTTTTATATTTAAATACAGCTAATATTAAATACAAGAAAACCTAATTTTTTTTGATCCGATGGATTATGGTCCAATTTGGCAATTCCCAAAATTCAGCTCGCTACAGATCGGAAACGACGCTTTTCGTAAATGAAGTTGTAAGTTGTTACAAACTACAATGGAAAAGAAAAAATTATTTCACATTATCATAATGCCGTTGTATGTTGGAGATTGGTTTAAACAATCTTATAAAATAAAATATTGTCGTCAGAGCAGCAATAAGGCCCAACAAAAAGATAATCGATATGAAAGTGGCCAGGCAACGATGTTTCAAATAATGGCACAAAGCAAGGAGCAGGAATCGAATCCATGATGGTTCATACTCCTCGAACTTCATGGACCTATGAATTTTGATTACGATCTGATGGTGTTTTGCCAGTCCACAATAATTCTTGAACAGAGGAAAAAAATTTCACAACGCACTCAGCGTAAAAAATTTAGACGGAAAGAAAGAGATTCATGCATTCATGCAGGCATTTTTGATCAAATCTCTGAATCTCAGAAGATTTTATAGTGAATCGTTAGAAACGTACAGCCGGTTTTTCTTCCAGCGACAACTATTCGCTCTTGACCCTAACAGCACGGATCCCAACTGACTTTATTTGCAAATGTAAGAAATCCGTATGCCATCACTTTTTTTTAATTTAATAGAAAAAACAAATATTCACTTTTGGCAAAGTTTCCGCCAATTTGCCAGATATTTTTTTTTTGATAGCGATTTTTCTATACAGAGTTCAGTTCATTTAATGTAAATTTTATGAAAATCTTTTTCCTGATAGATTTTTTCCATTGATCAATACGATTTCAGTTGTTTAAAATACTGGTATATTATATATAAATTAGCACAAGTGATAGTTGAGCTAAACTGATAAAAAATAAAAGTAAAATATTTTTAAATATTTAAAAATGGCTACTTCTACGTTCAATTATTAACACACCAAATGGCAACTGAACTGCTTCAGAGTAGTTGATTCTCGATATATCTCATAGAGAAATACAAACAATTTTTAGTGAATTTTTTCGAAAAATATTTTGCTCACTTTGATTTCTTCTTTTTTATTTATCTCAAAAAAATTCTTTTCACAGGAATTTCATTAGCAATTTGCGAGACAAAACTTTGTACAAATCGCAGCACTTGTTTGACGTATTTCAATAACAAAATTTTGTCAAACAAAATGAAATTTTTTTATTTGAAATAATAAATCTTAAATGCTAAAAGGACATTAAGTACAAGGATAGTAAAGGATTTCATTGGGGAGATCAATTTCAATATTTGTACTAAAATGATTAATTGGAAATATTATCAATTGATTCCGATCCGTTAAATAAACTAGTTTTTTTATTTCAATTTCATCATTTTTTTGAATTTTTTCCGTTTTTCCTTTGCTGTCCATCAAATTTTTGATTTTAATTCTATGCCATCCTTCTGCTAGAGGTGAATTGTCATAATTCATTTACACTTCCTCTCTTTAATGATTATTAATAAGTCAATACTGGATTTCTAGAAGGAGGAAGGGGCAATTCCTCTTGCCAGAGGGAACCTCTTTTTTCAAAAATACCAATAAAAATTTATGTAAAAGTTTTTACTCTGGTATATAGGATTTGTTTCCAGTGATTATTACAATATAAATTACGATTTCTGTACAATCGTAATTTATATAATTTATGAAGTGCCCGAGTTCCTTAGTTTTAGATTTGGTGAATAAGGATAAAAAATCTTGTCAAGGTACCAAAGCGCATTAAAAGTTGGTACTCCAATTATCAGTAGGATTAGTCTTTGGTCCTCACTTTCCACATTTTCACTAGTTCCTCTTGCATCTCCTGGTACTAACTTCTCATATTCCTTCTTCCTAACATTCCTATCACTTGCTACTGCTATATCTATCACCAATATTGATTTCTAATTCTTGCTTAATACATAATACCTGGTTGATTGGCCAATATCGCTCTTATTGACTATTTATATGCTCGGATGGAGAAGTCTCACAGTATCACTTTATTGTTTCCAATGATTTTTTGGGGAATCTCCCATCTAGTCTTAGGAAGGTCTAACCCATATACTGAGCAGATATTCTTGTAGACATGTCATGCATCTTGAATTCTGCCTGGCGGTAAATTCTTGGTTCAATGGGTCTGAAGACTAGTACCAGCTCTTGCGCTGCTATGATCAATGCCTAATTGCTGCTTTTTAACTACTTCTGTTTCCAATCTATTTCAGTCTAGTTATTTCCATACATTGGTAGAATTTCGCAATGCCAGCTACCTCAGCTATTTTTCAGTGGTACGACTTATGGAAGTTTTTGCTTCGCCATGATGCTTTCCTTACTTGTCTTTTTCAAATATTTGTAGATGTTTCAAATATTCTTTCAGCAGCTCATTTTTTGATGCCATATTGCTGATGTATTCCTTAATGCTTTCGGATTTCGTTCAAAACAGTGGTTTTCACACTCACCAAGCCCCATGCATCTTCTTTCCTGCTGCTATACAATCTTTGAGCATTAGACTTAAGATAGAAGTTTCCAAATCTTCATATCAACAGCTTCCGTTCCTTCCTTTGCCCATCTTACTGTGCCAACTTTGTAGCTGATAACTGGCTTAGTATCCACGTTTATGGCAAAGATTTTGTTCTTCCCATTGAGCTGTCTCTTCATGATTTGTCTTATTCTTTGATGTTACTTAGATATTGCAGTTTTCTTTGCCTCTCCATCGTGCTTATCATGTGACTATGGGTTATACTAAAGTACTTATAGCTAGTTTGCTATATATCCTGATGGCAAATTTACCCCATCAGTCATTATACTTTTCCTTTCTTTACTACAATCAGATTTCCCCAAGCCGAATGACATCCCAATGTCCTTGCTATAGATTCGTGTTAAATGAATAAGCGAGTCTCCTTCGCTTTTGGCATATAACTTAATGTTATCCAGTAGAAAAGATAGTTGATGGTAGTTCTCTCTAGCTACTTTTCGTAAATATCTGATTGAGAGAGTTTAGATCCATGCAGAATATGGGAGACAATGCTTTACCTTGATATATGCCACACTTGATAGCCACTTGTGCTAGTGTCATTTTGCACAACCCCACTGAGTTCTCGATGAACGCCTTGTTGACTTTGCCAGACGTTCACAGATTCGTGTAAGGAACATTAATCATAAACTTTCCTATACTCAATCCAAGTTGTGCATAGATTGGTCTATCGGGATTGAGGCTTGAACGACAGCTTTATTTATGAGTAACTGGTGTCGGAAATGATCGAAATGAAAAAAATAATAGTAACACGGTAATTATTCATAAGAAAAAGAGAATTCATAAAACATTTTTAAAATTCAAAAAAAACAAAGCTTTCCACATCACATGTAATCAACAATATGCAATTCACACAAAATTGTTTTTTTTCTTTCTTTTTTCTATTAATTAATTTGTAAAACCATTTTATTTGCATATCAAAAAAAACAACTATGAGAAAACTTCCTCTCGAATATAAATAAATTTTTGTGTAATTTTTGTTCTACCAATGTTTTTTAAGCCCAACTCAGACTGTGACTCCCAACCAGGATTGTTTTATTTTGGATAAACGAACAGCAGGCTTTCAGCTATATTCGCCGTATTCGCCGTATTTAATAATTATTCTCCTCCGCCAATATTCGCTCTTTTTTTATAAACTACTTGCCTTAACCACATTCACTTTTAATTCGAATTTATTAATTAACCATTTTCATTTATTATCGTAAATTATATTGTTTAATAAATATTTTTATTCACTGTAGCAAGTGCACATACTTTTCTCGATAACTGCTGTCCTCTCGTGTTGTTCCCAACGTTTTTTTGAATTGTACCTCATGTACTGTGGCTCATATGGTCATAAAGCTTGATGGCTATAATGCCTTACAGGACTTTCTACATTATGAAAGGGGAGGCTATTGGCCAAGAGTCAGAATTTTGCCCTTATGAAGATATGTATCTTTCATGGCTCGATATGTATGTTTTCAGCGCCTGAATAGCTTGATTTCGAGTTGCAGCAAATCCTCTCCATCTTTCCGGCTAGAAACCTTAGAAAGACCGTTTGAAAGTTAATCTGCTTTACCTCAACCTCTCAGGCCTCTGGTAAAGGATATTTAATATACTATACTATACTATAAAAGAATACTATAAAAAGTATTAAGTAGAAAAAAAATTTAAAATTGAATAAAGCCAAGTTAACAAAATTAATTTTCAAAAGAAATTTTAAAAAATGATTTTGATGTTTTCAATGCTAGAGAATGCAGCAAATTCTAGAGAAAATCTCATCTTTTGAAATGGCACGAAAACTTTTCTTCAATTCAATGACCAGATTATTGCCAATTATTATATCTTCTATTTTCTATCTCAGATTACTCGTAAGCATCGAACTATGGTCAAACCAATCCATTTCTTTGCTAAGGAAAATCGATAGCTAAATTCTGGTCATCTTCACGATGTAATATAAAAATCTTATTGTCGCATCTTATAAGCAATAAGATATTACTTATCCTTATTTCTCTTCAAATTTTGCCTTTCTAGCATTAAATATATCGACTTTCGAAGTGATTGTTTTGTAATTTTTTTTAGTTGTGGAATTTACGCAATATTCATTTTTCATTTTTTGTTCATTAATTTTTTTAGAGGAAATCTAAGAATTTATAATTGGCTAAAAAAAATTAATAAATTGCAATTAAAATCCTAAACCCTAAATCCTTTCCTTAATGTTCTTGAGATGAAAATGTTGAAGTAAAGTTCTTAAATATTTACTTGAATTAAATTATGCTCATAACATTGAGCGAAATGATCAAAATAAAAAAATACAACAGTGACAAAGCAATAATAATGACCAGTATTAATATTTACCAATGTTTTACCATAAAAAAATAAAAATACTTTACTATCACAAATAATTAGCAAAATTTTACTTATAATTGCTAATCCAGTTCGACCAAAGTTGTTCTTTCTTTATAATAATTTTTAATTCGGTCAAAAGATTCCTCATTTCCTCATCTCCCTTATCATCGAAATTTTCAATATGATGTGATTCATATTTTTTAATCTCTCTTTGAGCGGTATCATTTTGAAGTAACTGTGGAAGACTATGTGAGCAAATAAAAGTCTTACTAATTGTTCCAATCATATGGGCCTTGCCATTTAACAATTTTTCATCAGTAGATGTCGGCTCGATTTTAGAAATCATATTTTTTGTTTCCAATTCATTCGTTTCAATAAACAAAAGAGACTGAAATTTTTAAAATCAAAGGTAAATTCATAATATTAATGTTTTCAGAATATTTTTTCGAAAAACGGTGGAGAAAAGGTATCAAAAAAAGTATCGGAAAATTATATTACCTGATTCTGCGACTCACTATACGAACCACAGTCAATATCAAAGGGAACCCCGCAGACTTCAAGCTCAGTTCGACCACTTTTTCTTATCCTTATTTTGCCAATACATGCACCATTTGGAAACCGTTCCAGACAATGCATTTCATTTGAACACGGTTCATCCTTAAAAATATAAAATGAATGGCCTGAAAAAGTTAATTATATAAAGGACTTTTAAAAAACTGGAAATTATAAAACTTCATTCTAAATAAATAATTCTAGAAAAATAAATCAAACTATTCACACTATTTGATATAATCTTTTTCATGGGAATTGTAATTGAAGATGACAATAAAATTGATAATGACCCAAAACTGCTATAACTGGAAAGATAGAAAAAAACCTGTGTACTCGACAATTCCATATTCACAGTACACTTATTTTCTCCATTAAAAAATCTTGAAAACGAATTTATAGAACTTGGTAATTGGAATACACAAAGTTCTGAGTCCATTCCTAAAATTTTAAGCAAAAATAAAGTAAGCGAAAAAAATCATTGATCCACAATATTTGCCAAAATAAATCCGAATAAATAATAAATAAATAAATAAAATAAATCTTTTATTAATTTATAATAATATAACATATAATAATTATTGCTGAATTTTCAAATTTCAACTGAAAATTTTCTGCTAGAATTAAACCCTATTCTCATGCTTCGAATATTTTGAATAAGTCTTTAGAAACCTTGGCAAAAATTTTTCAATTCGGTATCAGCTACACTAGAAGAAAAACTCGAAATTTGAACATAGTCTTTGTCATTCACTAATGTTGCCACATTTCCATTTAAACAATTGCTTGGTCCCGCTTCGTTATCACTATAAACGATATCAATAAATTTGAAGAAATATAAGAAATTCTGAATCTGATAATTTTTACTAAAAAAAAATTATGAAAACAAGAGATTCTTCGAAAATTCTAATTATCACAGATATGGAAAATGAAAAAAAGTTCCAAAAAGAATATCATTGGGTTAATTCGAGAAAATCTGATGAGAATAATACCTTCTTAAACAATTTCCACGAAATGACGAATCCACTGATATGGCAGTATTTTCTAGTTCGACTTCTTCTTTTTTAATATCTTTATATTTTAATGGTTGAAAGTGTATTTCATCACATGTTGGCAGTACATCCGGCATAACAGTTCCAGGTTGAAGATCGCTAATAAACTAAAAATATAAATTGAATATGATCTTAATTTTCAAATTATTTAAAAGAAAAGTTGTAATTTCGCACAAAGTTTCAATCAAAACATCAAATACTTTGATCTGTCTTATTTCATAAATTTTTTTATCCAGAATAAAAGATGCAGAAATTACGGTACGGTTTTTTTTTCAATTTATTAGAAAAATCATTTTAAGCCATCATTTTTTTAAAGCATAACAATTAAAATACTGGAATCGAATTTTAAAAAAATATGTTGACAAAAAAATGACATTAGAGAACGACAGCAATTAATAATTTCATATTTATTAAAAAAGAACTTTCTAAAAAAATAATCTGAAAATTCAAAAATATCGAATAAAAGTTTTTAGAATGATTTACAAGTTTACCACATCAGCTAGCAATCCTTCAAGTGTTTCTCTATCATCTGCATTGTCCTCTAACCAATCACCTCCATATGTTAACGCATCACAGGAAGAATTAATCCGTTGACCATCATCATCAGCTTTGTTTTCACGATCTATCCTAGTGATGAATATACCTGTAAACTGTAAAATGTAATTGTAAACGTATTCACACTACATAATGAAAAATATTTTAACGAAAATGAAAAAAAAATACGAAAAAAAATTAAAAAGATAATTAATGATAATTTACCATCTGAAGTAATAGTTTTTGCCCTCAAATTTTTTCCACCATCATTCAATCCTTCCGAAAAAATTCCTTGTTGTTCAATATAAATGGGCTTTTTTTTTGGACGAGAAAATGAATTTCTATCATTGCTCCTTCGTTTACCTCTATTAGCTATATATGTATTTCTCGACCTTTCGCTAAAAACTTCCATTTTTTATTTGATTCCTAATTTCTTAAATTTCTCAAAAAAATTGAGGAAATAAAATAACCCATGTGAATAAAATTCGTAGATTCTATGATTTTATCTCAAAATATTATTTTATTTTAACCAGTTTCGTAATTTATCTGAAATTGATCGAATTTATTAAATAATTTTTTATCATCTATTCACCTAAAAAAAAAGGAAAAATTGCTATAAAAATCAAAAATCAAACCACAAAGCACTACTGCATAAAAATAAAATCAACAAAAAATGAAATGTAAAAAAAACAAAATAAAAAGTAAAGGATGGCCGAGGCGGATGGTGTGGTGTCCATCAGAAGATCGATCTTGTGGCCATGTGTCATTTAAAAAATCAGGATGACAACCCAACTGCATTTCTATCTTAAGTGATTCCTCGCAAAAAAGTGAATTGAACTAGCAAACCGAATTAAAAATGGTGAGTGCTGATTAATAAAATGAAAAATAATCATAAAAAGAAGCAAACTTAGGAGCGGTGTCAGATCTCACTTCACGAACTCCAGCAGCAGCTAAATTCGGTAAAGTAATTGCTTTTTTAGTTTTTTTTCCTCGATCAGATGAACCTTGGAACATTACTCCAATATGCTGCAATTTAGATAATAAATTAACCATTCTAATACTGAATGAAAAGAAAACGAAAGCATTGCACACATTTATAGACAAACGAATAATAAAAAAGTTCGTTGTTCACCGGAATTTTGATTAAATAAATCTTTAAAGATTTAAAATAAAAATACCTGTTTTTGAAGACAAGGAATAAAATTTTTATTAATAAAGAACGATAACAAAAATTAAATTTCTGATGAAAAAGGAAGTATGTGAAGTTTGTTTATTCAGTGGACTTGCAAAATTACTAAAGAAAATGATAAGAATCGCAATACGAATAAGGTATAATATTAAAAATGATCGACTAAAAAACGAAAAAAAGTTGTCCCCACCGGTATGATATAAAGGCGCTATAAAAGAATGTCCCTAATCAGCGAGACTCTGTGATACAAGCTTTTGTCGATAAAGATTTTATCCGCAGATAAATTGTATCTTAGACATGAAAGGTCAAAGGCAAATATGAAATATGAAAGGCATTGAAACATTTAATATCCTCCACTCTCACTGGTTGTATTTAGCTCGAGCGAATCGTAGGTGTACAGACGGAGATTATCACTTGAATACAAAACGAGTTTCATTTTATTTACTTTCGTTTGATCGTGATTTAATCCGATTCTTGCTGCAGTTGTCGACATATTGTTTAGCATTATTTGCGTTTCATAAGTGTCAGCAAAAAGGACTATTTCATCAGCGTATTCAAAGTCTGTGGTACTGACTTTGCATATTTCTTGAGTGCCGATAAGCGATGTCCATTATCCAGTCTATCGCATAGTCGAATATTGTAAAGGAGAGGAGGTAGCCTTGACATACACCACTTTTAAAGATCCTGTTACTTCCCCATATGCACAGACTGTGCCGATGTATAAAGAAATGCCTTTATGCTTAGGGTATTACTACTGGGCTGCGGTAAAACAGATCAGTTTGCAGTTTTGGAGAACTAGCAGAATATGAAGAAAAGTGGATTTAGTGGATCAATTTGAAGTTTTAAAAAAAGAATAACAGATTTTGGGGAATATCAGAGGCTTTCAATACATTAATAAGGGCTGAGATTTCTTGGAAAGATTTCGAAAAAAGCAACAAATATATCAAAAAACGGTACCCATATACATTTGCGTAACTTCCACGCAAATTTCGAGCGATTTTAAGCGTTTTACGTGAAAAAACGAAGGAAGAAAAGAAAGCATCTCGCAAATTTCTAAAAATGCAAAAACAGCAAGATAAATTTCCAATTAAAAGCTTCATTATTTCTCAACTCCACAAAAACGAAATTTTGCAGTCTCCGAAATAGATGTCGAAACTCTAAAACGCAGCTTCCCCAATGAGAACAATGCATCTTAAAATAATTGATTCGAAAAAGCATTCAGTTTCCCATTTTCAGAAATATAACGCATTTTGGCCAAACAAATTAAAATAATAATAAATAATAGAATTAAAATTTCTTTCAACGAAATTATTTTTTGTGGCCGCATACGACAGTTAGTATGCTCGAGTACGGAACTGTCATATTCGTTCATGGTGGGTTTACTTCCACCGAAAGAGACGCGGGGGGGAGGGGGGGATTGAGTGCGTGCTGTTTGTAAGGAAGGGATTTCCTCTCAACCGCTGTTCTATTTCTTCCAATCGCCTTATTTTTTTGCATTATTTCACCTTTTACTCTTTAATTTTGGTTTTAATTTTTCGCCACTTGTTTTCAAATTTTTTTGTAACATTTGTAGATTACAAACATGGAAAATATTCGGCGACCAAAATCTGGCGAAACTTTTGAAGAAATATTAAATCTTCAGGTAATTCTTTTTTCATCCATTTCCTTTTAATTTCTTCCGTTTTTTTAAATTAAATGATAAATGATTTTTTGTAATCTATAAATGTGAATTAACTGAAAGATTTTAGGATGAATTTAAGCGCGAGAAATCGAATAAAAACGTTCTCAGTGTATCCATCAAAAAAGTAAAATTAAGTTTTTAAAAAATATTCGTATAATTGAACAAAAGATTAACGAAAATTATGTTGGCAAAAGGCAATAATATTTCGCAAGGGGGATTTTGGCATGGAATCAAATCGCGGTCGAACTCTTTGTGAGGTCGCTTTAAATTACCTCAGCATTAATTAACTCTGTTTGCTTTCTCTGGCGACAGCGCTTCTGCGTTCGTAGCTTGCACTGGCTGTTAGGGTGAGGCATTTAGGCGATCATTTTGCTAGAGGGTTTAATGTAACAATAAAAAAATTTGTTTCTCTCATTGGCATTTTGTTAATTTTATTGTTATTAATTTATTATTATAATTATTAGTTTTGTTATTAATTTTTTATTGTTATTCATATTAATTTTAATCGCTTTGGCAGTTTAATAGTAATTTTACTAGCAATTTTAACAGTAGAAAGTTCAATTTAATATTTGTTTGTTACCTGACGCCATGGAATGTTTCTTTGAGATGCACAAAAAAAAAGATGATATTCACCATGGGAAAATATTAAATGAGCTGAGTCCGAGAAAGAAAAACTTTGAAAGTGCAACAAATCAGAAAACAAGATTGGATTTTAGAAGTAATAAATTCATGATCAATCTTGAGGAAGTTTCAGACGAAAGTGCTACAGTTTTACTCAATGATGTCCAAGTATTTCGCTTTTATTTTTCACTTTTTAATTATATTTTCTATTGTATTTTGCAGTTTTTTAGGACTTCATTTGTTAAAAGATAATTTGTCAAGTTTACCAAATAATTTATTTTACTTATATCTGTTGTTAATTATAAGGATCATGTCTGCTTTATCAATGTTTTATCAAATATTTTAAAATTGCTGCCTTTAACATATTCCATGAATATTTAACTAATAACCTGTTTGAGAAAATAATTTACCAAATGAAACTAGTCATTAATATAAAAAATTTCATGGCTGCATCACTTAATTTTTTTATAAACGTTAAGGAACGTAACCAAGATTTTCTAAACAATGTTGATAGAAAATGGGATGACAAAATTGCTTGCGAAGAATATTGTAAAGAGGATGGATTCCCTGAAGTTCTTGATTTATCTAGGTTATTTTAAAGATTTACACTTAAATTTTCATTTTTTTCATATCAAATCAAAATTTTTTTCTTTGCAAATTTGATTAGTATGAACTTAAACATAAAATCATATGCTGGAGTCAATGATAAGAAATGAAGTCAAAGCAATGAGTAATATAAGTTAGCAGAATAAAATAACAAAAACAATCAAAAAAGAAATTAATAATGAATCAGGATTGCAAATCTTTTAATATGTTGTGCATGGTTTTGTTGAGATTTCTTTTAAAACTGAGGGCAATGCATCAAAACATCATATGATAATTTGTTTCAACTGTTAATATTTCGAACGAAAAAATTTTGGGAGATTGGTCCTACAAATAAATTTTCGTATTTTCAATCCATTACCTCTGGTAGCATTAAATGAAGTCTTAATAGAACGTTTCAGGTTAATATGCCTAAATAAAATCTTGTAAATAGTAAGTAAATCTTGTTTAATTCTTCTTTTAATGAATCAAAATTATTTTGGATCTGTAAATTAAGGAGAGACAAAGATTAAATAAATCTGCTAAATATTTGTTTTTTATTTGTGTTTTTTGCTTTTTTCCAGGTATTTTAGAAAAGATCCTTCGAAATCTTCATGTCTGCAGCTCAAGAATGATCAGAGTATATTTGCTGCTGAATTCGATAGGCTATGTGGAAATATTGAAGGTGTTTTCAGTGTTTTTAATTGATGAGATTTGTTTTTTTATTTTAAAGAAATTAAATCTATTTAACGATTATTCTTAGTTTTTTTTTTTTTTAAATTTATTGCTTTTTAGAATTTATCTATGCATTTGAATAATTATTTACTGGTTAATGTTATATTATGCATGCTTCATTTCGACATATTTATTATGGTTAGCATATTTTATTTTATAGAAAATATTCCGTCGACTTCAGTTTTCGCTGAAGAAATTGGTTATGATGCAATAGATCTCGAAAATTCGAAGAAGATTGAAAGAATGACGAAAGACGAAGTACTAAAGGCGCAACAAGAAATTCTCGAAAGATTTGGTTGGTTATCTTCGTACGTCGGCGCAGGTCTGTATATATATGGAAGCTGACAGATTCATTCCTTCGAAATAAGAACAGGTGTCCATTAGGGCTACGTCCTTTCCCCACAATATTCAACTATGCGATAGACTGGATAATGGACACTGCTTGTCGGCACTCAAGAGGTGTCCGAATTAGTCCAGAGCATCGTATCACAGATCTTGAATACGCTGATGATGTAGCCCTTTTTGCTGACAGTTATAACGAAATGCAAATAATGCTAAATAACATGTCAGAAACTGCAGCAAGAATCGGACTTAGGATTAATGTAAATAAAACGAAAATCTTTTCGTCTTATGTGCAAGAAGCTAATAAAATGCCTCTTTTTGTAAATTCATTGCCGGTTGAGGAAATGCTTGATTTCAAATACCTTGGGTCCACTCTTATACCAAATGGACAGGCATAAGATCATATTATAACTCGGATCACGGCAGCTAGAAATGCATTCTTCAGGTTGACGAAACCTTTATGAAATCACCATAAAAACGAAAGTCCGCATTTAAATTGCCGTGATCCATTCGATCTTACTATATGGTTCTGAGACATGGCCAATGAAAGTGGAGGATATTAAGAAGTTATCTGCCTTTGACCACTCTTGTCTAAGGTATATTTTACGGGTTCGCCAAGTGGATAAAATCTCACAAGATCGCATCCACCATCGTTCAAATACCACTTGCATAATATTATCACCTCCTTCGCTGGTTAGGGCAGATTCTCCGTCGTCCACCACAGGAGTTGATGCATATTTCGTTATTTGCTAAACCGGTTGGCGTCAGAAGCGAGGTGGGCCAATCAAGACCTGGACTGATACGGTGAGAAAAGATTTTGAACGTATAGATGGACCAGCAATATATGGACTTAAACGATGGAAAAAGGAATGGCTTCTATTGCTGTCGACGATGGCATCAGACCGCGCCGTTTGGAAGTGTCTTACCCTTGTAGCCGTTGGAGCCAGCCTAACCAGTAATGGTGAGAGCTATTAGAAGAAGAAGAAATTCAAATTTCAAGCGATTTTATATTCCTTATTTTAAATAATAAATTCAGATGCAAAGTCGATCGAGTTTTTGCTTACTAGAGCTCAGATAAAGCAGAAATATGGTGAAACCAGGATTGCTGATAAGCAAAGTATTTCTTATAAAATTTCTATATAAATATAAAGAATTGATTTTGTTCATTGATTTTGATTCTTTTTAATGATTTTTTTATTTTTTTCGAATTAACTATGTTTCTTGGTTCTGTTCTGAAATGAAGAAAGTTAAAGTTAAAACTTATTTTAAGGATTATTTCCATATAAAAATAAGTCACAGGAAATTAATAACTGTGGCAAAATTTTCGACAAAGATGGCAGTAAAATTAACGTCGAGGAAAAGATCAAACTCTTAGAGTTTTTCAGTATAAATGCTAACGAAATGGATAGCTTATATGATAATATGATAAGCAGTGAAAGGCTGCGTTTCGCAACTGTTAGTTCTAATTTCATTTCATTAATTCAACAAATGACCCTTAATTGTATTATCATCAACTGACTTATGCTTGGGAATACATAAGTGCTCATAAATATAAATAAATAATTTTATGTCACACTTTCACTTTATAATGGATTTTTTTATTTTTTTATTCGGGCATTTGAATTATAAGAATTGTGCAAAGATGTTATGGGAAGGGATAGAATGGGTCAGTGGATTGTTGCTCAATTCGGTGAGCCGATGCTGAGGTTCTATTCCTCGCAGGACTAAACCTGTCCAAAAATCTGGGCGATGTTGGCGGTTCACCTGTACTTCTATCCCCAAGAGACTCATGGCATTTTTGTGTAGTGCGACAAGTTAGCGGAGGAGTTTAACCAAATGGCGAGTACTCTTTAAAAAAAAAGTTGTAGGAAGCGTTGCACTTGGATATGACAGCAAAATATGTGCGAAACATTGTTCCTCGTCAAGAGAAAAGTATTCTAAAATTGTTCGATTCTTTGCGAATACCATCAAAGTATGCACTTTTGGATATTTTTATTTTTTTATCAAAAAAATATTTCCCCTCATTAAATTTTTTATTTATTTGTTTATTAACTTAATATTTGTTTATATGTTAATAATTGCAGTCTCACTGGTTGCGAGAATGATGAATTAATAGAAAAAGCTCGAAAAAATTTGCCACTTATCAAGGGTCTGTTTCTGAAGGAGATGTTAGTTTTCATTTCATTTTGTGTTGATCAGATAAGATAAAATTATAAGAGGTAAAATTATAAGAAGTGTGTTTCAATATTTATATTATCGTTATCGTTATCGCAATATTATCGTTAATTTATAGGACAAACGATTCAGGCAATGTATTTTACAAATTTCCTGAAGAAATAAATCCAATTACTCATTCATCTTGGACTTTGTTTCCTATTCGAAAGGTACTGGACGTTCATCAGACAGATGGGTAAACTCTTATATTGATTCTTCTTCTAACAGTTCTCACCATTAGCGTAAATGCTGATTTCGCTGGCTACAAGGGTAAGACGACTCCAAGCTGTTCAGTCCGATGCCTTCGCTGGTAGAAGTCATTCCTTTTTCCATTGTCTAAGTCCATATACTTATATGTTTGAATTCTTTCCTGATTGTATCAGTCCAGGTGTTGATTGGCGCTTTTCGCTTTTAACGCCATCCATCAGGATTTAGCAAGTAAAAAAACAGTTGTAATGGGTAATGATGAATGTACGAGCGACGATCTGTGATGGTTTTGTTAAAGCAGGTAGTATTATATGGAATAAGAAAATGATAATAAATGATAATAATAATGAGAATCCATCGATTGATATGGGCAAAACAGCTTATCGGCACAACCGTCCACGAATCAGTTCAATCAGTAGATAAAAAATCAGTGATTAAGATACATCGAATATAGGAAATTTTCTTTCTTTATTCTGGTTTTGATGAAATATATTTCATATTCATGTCTCGTATATTTCATAATTTCAGCCTGCTACTATTTTGAAACATTTTCAGGAGAATAGCAGCAGAAGATGTAATCATTGTACGTCTGTCTTTATTGTGGACTCTTTTGTTGTTCAAAGAAAGACCTTCTGTATTTTATATGTTTACTGGCATCAATGAATTTTATATACGCCTTGCAGAAATATTTCTTCTTGGTAGATTTCAGAATTTTATTGGAAGGATAATTTCAGAGAAACGTTGAAACGCTTTTCTTTTATTTATTCTAAGATATTATATATTGTCATACTTCGGTATCGAAAAATTATCTTCGAAATGTTTATTTTTTCAGTTCTTTTATTTGATATTCTCTATTTTCCTCTTTTCCTACATTTTTTGCTAAAATTGGATATAAGCGTTTCTGTAGGTTGTATTTGGAGAGACTTTGGGTTGGTTAAAACATTTTTTGAAACTCACAGAATTTCTAAATAAAACTCTAAAAATTGCAGGTCCTCAGGTATTCCAAGATGATTGTATTTGTGCTTGCATTAATCGGTTATTGCGGGAGTTTCTGATTCCATATGCTTCAAACGGTCTTCTTGCTTTCGGTTTAACTGACTCTATTGCTGGATTGGACGCTTTTATACCATTGTTTATTTTTTTATTATTAAATATCCAATAATTTATTTAGAAATACATATCGTTTTATTTCATCATTTGGTATTTTTTGGTGTTTATTTCTTTCAGCTATGAAGAACTGTTGCAACGTTTTGAGGAATTTTCAATGGGAAATGATCTTTTTACGCTAATAATATTGATTGGAGCTTACTTGAATTCAAATATTTTAAGTGGATTGTTGATGAAATCAGCTCTTTGGTCTTATGACAGAAATGTTGTAAGGCAAATGACACTAAAGAAAACGAGGGCTGAGGTGATCAATAATTTTATTTTGGCTCCTTTCCTTCCTTTATATACTTTTGCCGCATTATTGGCAATAAATTTTCCAGACTTTAAGCTTATTTCAAAATATTTTAAAACTTATCCAGAATTTGATGGTGTTTTTCATTCCTACTGCCAACAAATTTTTCCAGAATTTTTTGGAATACATGGAAGCAGACATCAGTAGATCACGTATTGAAGTAGAAGACAAATATTATGCTCAATATGCAACATTGCTTGGATTGTATGCCCGAGCAATACGTGATTCAGTTATTACTCGAGAACGTAATGAACTCGTATTTTATATTGCTTCAGTGGAATTGGGTTTGTTTGTGAAGGTGCATAGCGAAAATGATCAATATAAAATAGATTTGGTTAATTTTTGTTTTAAAGTAATGTTTTAGTTAATTTGATGGACTCCATTAATTTATGATCGTATTCATAACGATTGTACTTGCTTATGAACAAAAATCGAAAATTTTCATAGTTCTAATTTAAGCAAACATTTCTTCCGCTGGCATTATCTTACAAATTTTGATTAAAATTTTTTTTTATTTATCAATAATTCAAAACTTTTAGGAAAGGAAACAAGGAAAGGAATTCCAGGCACTTATTTCAATGATAAGAAAATCAGTTAATGATAAGTTATCGTTGTGATTTTTTCGATTATTTATTAAAAGATAAAATTTGATAATGATTAGTGTTTAAAATAATATAGTTCATTTCAAAATATTATATTTATAAAATACAAAACTTTATACAGTTACTGTACAGTATATTTTAAATGTTCTTTTCAGAATAACGAAGTCCTTCTTAAAATTAACATAAAGATGTTTTAAAAAAATATATTCACCTAAAATAAATAAGTAGTACCTAGAAAATAAAAAAGGCAGTGATGTCCCATTCACAAAGTACTATTTTTCACCGTGAAAATAGAGATGTAAAATATAAAATACAGAAAATTTGCATCTATATTCTATAATAATAATAATAATTTCAACTTTATATACAGAAATATTTATATAAATATATGTGGTCAAAGGTTTTGCGGTTTTTTCTGGAAAAATGTATTGTATTAAATAAATTTATATGTTTATAATCCAGAAAATTGTGCAGAATCAATTAATTGAAGTGTTATCGAATCTAATGGCACGTATTTATTACTTTTCGCATTTTTATAAAAGACGTGCCCATTTTTACTGTCCGGTTGATAACCAAGATTTTGCAAATGAGTCTTAACCAATTTATAAGTACCTGAAAGGTTTGAACGTGAGAATCTAAACTCTGGAAATAAGCTGAGACAATTTTGTGCATTTTCTAATTATATCCACAATATTGCAAAAAATACCAGTTTTGTCGACGGATTTACATAACCTAATGAATACTGGCGCAGCATATGAAGGTAATTTATTTAGTATTTTTGCTCCAATTTCATCCAGAAACATCTAGAAGAAAAGAAATAGTGTTGCAAAAGAATTTCAAAAGGAAAAAAGGTTAAAATTTAGAAAAAAAAGTGGCAGATGTTTACTTGATTATCCTGGAAAGCTTCATCCGATTTTACTATAGCAGCCATTCCAGCTTTGCCTTCATGGCCTAAATGTTTTCAAAACAAATTTTTTTGAAGAAGTAAGCAGTGGGACAAACTTTTAAAAAATAATGGATAATTTATTAATCTAGAAGAGAAAATTCTAATTAGCGGATATAACAAAGTGAAAATACCTGGTACAGTGACACCGTAGACAGTAGCATCAGCCACACAATTCAATGGTTGCAAAATAGCTTCAACTTCAGTGGTACTAACGTTTTCTCCTTTCCATCTATACGTATCGCCTGTCCGATCCTTGAAATAAAGATAGCCAAGCTTGTCCCAGTGGAGAATATCACCTGAAAGAACTGACCATTGAATGATAAGGATAAACAAGCAAGTGAAACTCATCTTTTGTTTTTTGGATATTAATATCAGAAATTATAACAATCCACAGTACTCCAAAAAAACACCAGTTTTGCTGACGGAAAATCTAGTGAATACTAGCGCAGCACATAAAGGTAATTTAGTATTAATAATATTTTCATATTTTTACTAGAAATTTAAATAATGTAATTTTCCTTCAATGAAAGCAACTACTTTCTTAAATTGCTATTTTGAATTTATTGTTGGTAACATCAACAAATGACGTTGTCCTGTTGGTAGCTTTTTAATAAATATGGTGATAACGAGTTTAAAAATAAAAAAAAGAATAAAACATAAACCAGAAACAAATACGCTGTCTCCTTTTTTAAATACATTTTTCAAGACTTTCTTACTGGTTTCCTTTTGATTTAAATAACCTTCGAATATCAATAATGGATTATTGCTTTTTATTGTTGACACCATTGCACCTGTTTGTCCTTTAAATTTTACGTGAATTCAGATTTTCTAAATCCATCACCGATTTTTTGAACTTTTTAAAGATTAATTCGAAATATATCGAGGAAATACGGTGGCGATAAATAATAAAAGTGAAATTATTACATAGAATGAAATATATTCAAGGATTAGAATTTACGACTATCTAGAAGATTCTTTTATAATAATAATTTTACCATTTACCGGGTCGGCAGGGCACACACAATCCATCATGCCTTCTTATAACCTCGCCAGTCGTTTCATCAACTTTTACCAAGCGTACAGGATGCACAAACGAAGTTAACGGCGAAATTGGCAAAAAGCCACATGCTCCTACTTTACCATCGATATTTACTGCAATTTTTAAAAAGATGCAATTAATAAATGACTTGTATTTTTAGGTGTATGCTTAATGAATGGATAATCAATTCATGATATTTGGTACTAAAGTAATGCACCAGTAATAAGAATGAATCTACCATTAAAAATAAAATCTGCACGTTACTAGAGATCCACCTAAACTTCTATCGTTGAACCTATCTGGCAAAAGGATCTCACCCCAGCAACCAATGAAGTTAACCAAACGAGAATAAGTACTGTTAGAAAATGAAACTAATGGTTACAGTAGTGTTTATTTCACAAATGCAAATAATTATATCTGAAAATATTTAAAATTGCTATTTAACCGAGGTTAGATGTTCCTTCAGTGGAACCATAAACTTCTCCAATACGAACACCAAATCGATCAACAAAGTCTTGCCATATTTCACCTCGTAAACCATTGCCATACATTAAATGAATTTTATGTATTCGTTCCTCAGGAATTTTCGGTTGTGCCAATAGATATCGACATATTTCACCAATATACTGTGATACCTGAAATGCTTTGATTCAACAGAAATTTCAATAAAAATTAAAACGCCTTTTATTTATCCATTAATTCTCCAAGTGACGGAAAATCGCATACTATTTCATCATAAACCATGCTAGCTACCATTTCAACATATCGACTTTCATTATTTACTAAATTTTTAACAAAGAAAACATAGGGCAGAGGTATAGTCGATTGATGCAAGTGCTTCAATTTACGCAGTATCATAAGTTCCCTGGTCGTAACGGGAACGGGAATCCTGTTGCTAAGAAGTCGGAGTAACTTCTATCGCCAAATGAATCCATAGCAAAAAATTTCTAACTATGCAACCAGTGAAGCTACAACTGAAAGGGAGCATCATATATTAAAGTAGCATTATTAATAATGTAGTGCTATTAATAATATGAAACAAGTATCTAATATTAAAAAATATTAATAACCGTGCATTCATAATTAATTAATAACCGTGCATTCATAATTAACACAATCCTTCCAAAAATTGCTGGCAGAAAATTTTCGACGTATAACAGTAGATGAGCCAAAAATAATTGTCTGACCAATACCTAGGATTCCGGCAGCCGTATGATAAAGTGGCATTGCTAAATAAATTCTATCGCAAGGAGTTATGCGAAACGAATGAGCCACTCCAGTCACCATCGAATAAAACCTGAAATAGTCCTACTTATAGCACAGTTCTCGGATATGATATATCTAATGAAAATGCAATAAATAAATAAAAATTTTTTAAAATCTACCAAATAGGTTATAACTGGCCAATCTTTTAAATTAAATTAAAGAATAAATAATATAAATCTATAAAGTTGAAAAAAAACAAAGCAGTACCGATAGTGTTTAATGACTGCGGCTTTCGGCAATCCAGTGGTACCACTCGTATAAATAAAACAAAGAGCACCTATAAAAGATACAATCCGTTAAATTGAAAACATATTTGACTTCTTATCCTCTGACCTGACCTTTCATTAAATATATATAAGGATCAGAAATTCAGACCTTTTCCTCACCTCTTCTTAAACTATTAAATTTATGAAATTTCAAAACGAAAAAAATTAAATAACAGAAATCATCAGTGTACAACAATAATTGAAATTTCGTCTAAAAAGAATAAATCATAACCGAAATAAACTAGAATTCTAACTTTTAAAATCAACATCTTTACAATTTTGCGGTTCATCCGAGCTTGTTGAACTAAGAATTTCGCATAAATTGATGCAATTCCATTTCGAGTTACCCAATGAAAAAATTTCAATATTTTCATCAATAAGTTTTTGATCACTTATTTCTTTCACAGCTAAAAACGTACATTTAAACGTATATTTGATAACGTAAACGTATATATAACGTATATTTAAAATTTAGAAAAAATGAGAGTTCTTTTTTGTTCTTTTTTTTATAAGCTTACCAAGATTTCTTTAGAATTTCTAAAACCTCCAAAAAATCAAGTTTTATTACAAATTCATATAAAAAATTTATGAAACATGATTTAAAAAAAAAACCTTTGAAAATTATTATTATATAAATTATTATTATTATTATAAATTAGTATTCTTCTTCTAACAGCTATCGTTTTAAAGCAGGGGTTCGATGCTTGCTCCTATTAGGAATTAATCACGTGGCAAAATGTGGCAGGCGACCCAATTACACTTTTATCGCCTTGGCAAAAATTTCTACCAACGGAGTTAGCCTAATGAAAAGCGGTGAGCGCCAACCACTTCCTTTACTTCTTCTAAAAGCTCACGTCCTCGTTGTGATTAAATTATCCAACGAATTTACAAAAAATTGTAAAAATTAATTAATAAATACATTGGCACATTTGCACTGATGAAATGATTGATTTCGCTTTTGATGCATTAATGCAATGTGCTAATGGCTCCATTTTTAAATTGCTATTAATCCATGCCGTAATAACACCAATCTTTGAAAGACCCATCCATGCTGATACAAAATTTACACTGTTTTCCATAAATAATGCAACAACGTCACCATTCTTATATCCAAGCGACTAAAAGAAATTTATTCACCATTACTCCTTAAGAAAATAAAAAAGTCTTTCACAAAGAAGCCACAAGTTGGTCATCGAAAAATTTCAAATAACATTTTCAATTGCGATTTTACTTTTAAATATGTCGGAAATGGTCGAAAATGAATTAATTTTTTAAACAACTAAAGAAACAAAAAAATCGTTTTTTTCAAATTTCGAAAAAAAATCCTTAAATATACAGTAAGCAGCCTATCTAACGTAATCAACAGAACCTGAAAAATCTTACAAAGGGCGCAGAACTCTTCATATATAGTAAATTATTAAAACGCTTCATATATAGCAAATTAGAGAGAGGATGCAGAAATTCACTTGAAAACTCTGACATCAAATGAATCAGTGAATCAGTCTGATAATGAAGAAATTAGTTCATCGTAAAAATTTTATTCTAAAAAAATTCTCGGAGCTAATCCAACTCGTCTCGATATGACTGTAATTGTTGCAAATGAATTAACTTCTATGAGAAAAATCATTCAGCAGCATTAGAAGCAGTATTATAGGCAGAGATACCGGTAGGATAGCCAAAAGGATATTAACTCGGATTGCCGTGCTAAACAAAAAGGATTCGAATCAGGCAGTGCTGGCGATTCATCCATTTGTACTTCTACAGCCAAATGACTCGCAAAAAATTTTTGACAATACAAATAACCTACCAGAAATGGTGACCAATTCTTGTTACGAATGAAATAAAAGAATTAAAACATAACAAACTTTGAAATAATTTGCATATTTATTCATTTCGCAATTAAATTCGGCAAATGTAAACGTTCTGTTTGTTTCAATATCAATAATTGCGACTTTACAGGAATGTTTTTCGACTAAATCCATAAAAATTTTATTTAATCCACGATTTTCAGCCATTCGTCGATTTAAATCAATTTTTAAACGCAACAACAAATGAACTCCGCTGAAATATAATGAACTGGTCTGCTACGAAAAATTCCTTAAAAAATTATGAAAATTAAAGAATTCGTAATTCATAAATTCTAGAGCAATTTTCCAGTTAAAAGTACATTTCCAGAAATATTCATCCAATGCCTAATCCAAATTCTTCATTTATATTTCGTTATACAACTATTTAAAAAAGTCATCTTACTCGTGATTTCATAATTTTTAGCTACCACAGCAAAAGTATATCACGAGGAAGTTAGAGAAGATATTAAGGGAACATAATGGAAGAGTAAAAAGGCCGGGCCTAAAGTACTAATGAATATGGTAACAACAATGAAGGTTTTGGGATTATGGTAGTATTTAAGGAAGTTTATGGCGATTTTTTCAAGAAATTTGCAGATTTTGGATATCTCAATAAGAGAAGATCTCTCGCAATTTGATGCTGACGTCGCATTTTCTTGAGAATATGAATCGATGTTTCCAACCATCTATCAACAAAATTATTTATTCTTATGTTATTCCTACTAAATTATATAATTTTTCATTTTCAGTGATATTAATAAATTTTTTAATAACAATTTCTATAATTAATGCATATTTATGTATTTGTATTAACATTAATAGTAACCACCGTAGAAGAAAAATAAGAGAGTGAAGGAAATTGCCGTCCAAGTAAAATAAACAATTAAATGACCAATTATTTCTTGCTATACAACCAGTAATATTTACTTCATTCATTTTCTTAGGTATTATTCTATTCTATTTTTTTCCTTTATAATTGCTTTTTTTAAAATTTATATTATTGTTAAAAATTTGTTTTATTAATTTTTTATTAATTTTATTAATTTAAATTTATATAGGAATGAAAGCAACGAGCTCAGCGAATCGCTCACTCACTTACAATTTGCAATGAAAAAGAAGTTATTGAAACAATTAATTAATTCCTGTTTAATGAAAGTATATTAAAATTAATTGCTTTAATAATGTAAAAGTTTTGGAATTGAAAAAAAAAAATGCAAAACATTCTTATAAAATAAATGAAAAAATCAAATTCCATTATAATAAATGAAACTAGTTGAATCACACAGTCTTTTACCAATTCTTGTTGCTGAATGAAAGGAGCACTAAAAATCTATTTTCACCAAATTATAATTATTAAAAGAAAGAATTACCTGATATCTCTGTGAAGAGTTAAATATGAACGATACCAAAAATCACCATGCATATACCAAATATAAATAATTATTAACGAAAGAAATAATAAATAATTTAAGGGAATATAGCTGAACGAAATAATTGATATAAAGAAAAGAATTCCAATATAATCTTTGAAATTCATAATGCCCATTATTAAATAAAATCCTTCTTCTGCTAATTTCCTAAAATGCGAATTGCAGTGGGTGAAAATCAAAAAATTAAAGACGAAAATTGAAAGAATTCTCATCAATTTATAATATTAATATTTTTCTATTCTTTTACTGCTATATCACGAATAATATTAAAAATTAAACTTCATTTAAAGAATACAAGTAAATTTTGTTGTTATTAACGATTATAATTAATTATAGCAAATAATAGCAAATAATAGCAAAATTTTCGAGATTAATGAAAAAAAGATTTACGAACTTATTCCTCATTCCTCATAACTTTTTTAAACGATGAACATCTATGAGAAGCATGGAAGAAAAAGAAAGAATATCAGTTTGGAAAATTGATAATCGATAAAGACGAAAAATCCGGGAAAAAGGGAATAAGCAAGTTTTTTCTTTGCTTTTGTCAAGTCATCCATAAATGTTATATTTCATTACTTGGATAATTTTTATGGATTTTCAGGATTTTGTGGATTTTAGAGATAAATGATCGATTAATAACAACAAATAACCGCATCGCTTCATTTTTCCTTCATTAACTAATGAATAATGAATGAACGGCGAACGAACGAGCAATAACGTTAAATATTTTCTATTAAGAACAATGAATTTGCTTCTCTTCTATAATTTAAACAGAACTTCTAAAATTATTTAAACAGAAAAGCAAAAAAAGAATTGGATTCCACGAATTTTTTATGAAAAGAGGAGAAATTAAAAATTGCCTCTTTTAATTAATTAAAAGACTTATCTACGATGGACACGAAAAGAAAATCTAATTTGCAAGACCCACAGAAAATATCCCTTTATTACGAGCAGAAGCACTTACCAAGATTTGGCTCGTTCTGTTCAAAACGACTCCAATTTCACGACAGTCATTTTCAGACCACAAATTAATTTTCAGATAAAATAGAAGCATTGCACCATTGCACCACCGCCCCTGATTGATTTTATTTTTTAAGAAATCGGATAAAAACATTCAATCTCAAAAGGGGAAACTAAATACTAGGAATTCTATTAAATATTAAATCAGCTAACGATGAACATTTTACAAATTTCCAAAACTGATTTATTTTAAAAAATTCAATCAAGGAAATCGATTCATATTAATAAATATTATATAAATATTATAATAAATATTATAATAAATAAATATAATGAATCTATGAATTTAAAAGGAAACTACAAAAAATATAAAAAATTATGAAACTGAAATAAATATAAAATTTCTATGCATAATATAAATATATTAGATAATTTTTATGGTGCAACTAACCAACTGTTCAGTGATTAAATGAATTTCTACGAAAATCGATTCCATTAAAATTAAAAGTATTTTCTCAAAATCCTTCAGAATTGGACTAAATAATTAAAAAGATAAATGGCTAGCATTCAGCACTTCTGATTTGCGCCGGCTGCTATTACGCTTAGAAATTCTTAATTACTTAAGAAAGTAGGTTATGTGCTATGACTTTTGCACAATCTATGCCTCGAATCCTAACTGATGCGATAGAATTGGTGTATTATAGCTGTTCTTTTACTGCTATGATCAGTGCCTCAGCGTTGTCTTTCAGACCAGCTTTTTTCGTCCACTAGTAGGGGAAATTAAATAGACAATCCGTTCCATTTATCAGAATATTTTATACCAGAAATTATAAAAATAAAAACAAACGAAAATTATACATGAAAATTTCTCAATTCCCAATTACCATGACAATATGAAGGAAAATAGCAGAGTGGGTGTTACTCAGATTACCTTCTCGAGGTTCTGAAAACTCGTTGTCGAAGCGCTTGTATTGCTGCCGTCAGCTCACTTAAAAACTTCTCATCCTATATCCAGAAAATGTGAGGGGAGCCGACTTATTTTATAATTCGTATAATCTCTCCACCAAAGAATAGAAACAAAATGCTGTGAAAATTAACAAAAATAACAATGATAATAACAAAAAAAATTAAAATATTAAAATATTAAAAGTCAGCAAAAATAAGTGGAAAAAAATTCGAAGTAAGAAAATATATGAAAGCATTTTTTGGAGAAAATTATTGGATAATTGAAATGAAAGAAAAAAAATAGGCGAATCAATAAAATATTTGCTAAAAAGAAGGATTTTTAGGGATAAAAAGAACGAGAAAATTAGGAAAAATTTAATTCGCGTTATCGATCGTTTCCGAAAGCGATCGATCGGAGAATCCACAAAAATGGACGGACGAACGCATGAGAAACAGATCGGTACGGACGACGAGAATACGGACGGACAGACGGATGGATAAATTTTCAAACAGTTTGTCGTTTATTTTAACAAAAGCAGAACAATTTCTTAAGAAAACGTTTTTTGCTTAAAAACGTCGTTTTTCTTCATCGTTTAATCCATTTGTTTGCGATAAAAAGAAATCCAAAAATATTTTTCCGTCCACGAATAATTCAGGAAAATAAGAATCAAAGAATTTCGTTAAATAAAATATTTGAAGAAAAAAACGAGAAAAACCAAATAAATAAATTCACAAAACCCACAACGAAAATTTCCACTTTTCTACGGCAAAACAGTTGTTTCCGATTTCACTTTTTTTATTGAAACAGATGGAATCAATTTAAAATAATTTTCAATAAACAATGGATGTTAAAAAAAATCAAAAATTATCGCTGAGAAGGCGATAAATGCTTTCAGAAATTCGACAGACATTAAAGAAATATTATTCAGCGAATTGTCGAAGCGATTTTCTGAATTTCTTATAGGAGAGGCAAAGATTTTATTTTTTTATTTACTGGAAGTATATTGCAACGAGGTGGGATCGGACTGTCAGACATGTCGATAGAGCGATTTTTATCGGTCTGCTGGGCACCAACTGATATACAAAAGTTCTAAAGGCGGCCACAAAAAATTTTCCAAAAAGCCGCATGCAACTTCTAACAATGCTGTGATAATTATTGTTATACGATATTATAGGAAGTGAATTTACATAAAGTGAATTCTAGCAAACTGATAAAAAGATAAAAGATAAAAAGAAAAGATAGACTAAATGATCAAATAAAAATCGAACTAAACAATAAATAATTTTAAAATTTTTTATAATTTTAAAATACCAAAACATGGATGCAAATTCTCAGCCAAAAAAGAGATTCGAAGATTCGAAGCATCCGAAAATTCAACTGAATAATTTTATTTTTATTTTTATTGGAATTTTATTTTTATTTTGCTTCCTTTTTACTTTCTTTTTGATTATTATTATGCGAAAAATATTTCATCAATATTCGATTTTCAACCGTAAAAGTAAGTGAAATTATTAAAAAAATTTAATGAATTATTTTAACGAATAATTATTAATGAATTATGAATTAATAGCGACAATGACGGTCGAACGCTAAGTCGTTTCGATTAAAATCAAATCATCATAGGTTTGGTTCATTCGTCTACCTAAGAGGAAAAAGGCTGTCATTGAAAGCAAAATAGGAGAGATTTTGGTTACTCACCTATCTCCTCAATAGATAGAATTTCATAAATAAGAATTTCAACAAAGTAGTAGTGAGGTAGCAAATCCTAATATACAGTGGAGCCAGAAATAGCGAATTTTGTTAGAAAAATTATTCAACTTACTGCTACTGCATATTAAACATCTCATCATCCTCATTAGACCATGATTTTTTGATTTGTTGACTTATCATAATATTTCGTAACAATTTTCTAAGAAGATGCACCATTTCTGGTTTGGTAAATTAAAACGACCAGAAAATTTGATAAACTCTGTCGTTTTTCGGGAAAACTGTTACTATTTGGACTGATAAAAACTAATAATAATAATAAATCTATATTTTTGGTAATTATTGTCAATAATTAGAACATTTCCATATAATGAATGATTATTTAAAGATAAAAGCAAAGATAAAGAAGACAAAGCATGAGAATAACAATCAGTTAAAACAAAAAAACATTCTAAAAAGATACGCACTTTGGGTATTTCATAGGACTTAATTAATTAATTAATTAAGAGGAAAGAATGCTTAATTAAGAATCAAAATTTTCACTTTTGAATGTGAAACCAAAAATGCTCTGAAATGCATTTGTTGAAATTCTTATTTATGAAATTCTATCACACCCTTAACTACGAAAAACTAAAGTGACATTGTACGTATGGTACACGACAAGGAAGGATGCTCAGGTTAGCGCCTCGAGCATCAAAGTTCAGTTCGACATGAGTGAACTTCTAGTTAAAAAACATGCTTCTATCGTGTCGCCATTTGATTCTCTGGCAAAACTAATCGTATAAACAACCAGCGGAATTAGTCTAACAAGAAATGGGCCCTTGCTTGTTCCTACAAATATTTTACAATTATTCTTCAAAAATCTTCGGCAAAACGTTTTGTTTTTATTCGCTTATATGATATAATGAAGAAAATAAAAAATAATTTTAAAACGAAAGAAAAAAATATAATTTTATTAAAATTATTCATATATCATTGAATTGCAAAAAAAATAAAAGCAGTAGAAAAACAAATTTGTGGAGGAGTTTGTCACTTTTCCAGAAACAAGGACATCTCGAAAATAAATTTATTCAGGCATATTTTCAGGGACTAAGACATTAGAGAAGTGATCCAGAAATTAAATACCTTTCCAGAAATAAGTTTTTAGGATAATTCCAGGATGGTAGAATTCTGGAATCACCACTAGACGAAATATGCGGAAATAATTGATAGTTGTGGAATGACCATATTCAAAATTTGTACTAAATTGGAAATTTTCATGACAATTCCCTTCTCCTTCATTTGCATTTATTATAATTTCTAATTTATATGCTGATTCACTAATTTCTTACATGATTTTATCGTTTTTTAAGTAAAATAAATAAAATATGCTTGATTTTT